CAAAACACTACCAAACACGCTGCTCCTATGAGATGCTTTTCTTTCACTGTGCTTGTTTACATCTGTGTAGTAGAGCGAGGAGAACTGGACCATTAACCAGAGCTGCAGCTCGTCTATGGCTAAAACTACGGCTAGTTGTTGGCAGCATAACACAACATTTGATTGCCATCGAAGGCCAAAATATTACTGACTAGTTATTCTACAGCTGACTAGAGAGATTGAAGGCATTTAAAAGTTTAGTCTACCAAACACACATAACCCTAGACATGATTCTGCAGTTTGCTTGAACACACCATATTGCTCTTTTGTTTTGGTTTAAATCAGAACTACCTTTCTGTTGAACTTCAGTCACTTAAATCAACTTTTTTCATTTAGCAGAAAACTGATTTTAAAAAAGAGGCTCTAAAAATCCATTATGCACTACATGCCAAAATCAAACTGTAGTGGACAAACTATGCAGCATTTTAGCAAAAACCAATTGACTACATTAGCAGCTAGAGTGAAAGTTTTTTGTCTCCAGAGTTGGATCTCTGTTTGAGACCAAAAACACAGATGAAAAAAGGGTGAATTGTTGCCCTATAGTCATCAGTCGGATAAAACCTAACTTCAAAAACAGGCTAATCTGTGGCTGATTTAATCATTGTTTTCTGACAATTCTCCATACTAACTTTATGTATTGTCTTTGCAGATCATTCAGTCGGCTCCATTTGTTCAAACATTCATGCTGTATAAATCTTAAGTTCTTTAAATATTTGAAGAATTTCTTGAGAATCTTTTAAAACCTGTACCTGCCTCTGTTCAAAACTAGGTTGATGATGCTAGAAATCCAGTTCTAGCTAATGGAGCTAACAATCAGTGAAGCTGAGGGTGACTGTGGAGTAAAATGAAAAATATTTCAGTGGTAGTAAATCACTACAAGCAACTCCTTTTGCATTACACATGTGCAAAAAGTTAACAGAAATTAAATGTACACTGTAAATATGTTCTTCTTTTCAGAAATAGCACTACTACTGTAGTTTTTCCAAGTCAGATTAAGTTGACGCTTCATCAAATTCATGAATTGGCTGATACATCTGGACAGCCTTATGTCAGCATGGCCTCTCAGAAAATAAATGTATGTTCACCTCATTAGCACCATGAGCATCCACACTACAGACACATTAGTGGCTGCAGCCATTAATCACATGACATGGTTGTTGGTGTCTGGATGTTGTCATAAACTCTCAGGCGGTGCAGATGTGCCTGACGCGTGTCTCTGTGTGCTGTGTTTGCCCAGACAGAGTAATGATGGGCGAGCAGTGTGAGGCCGCGCTAATCAGTCCGGATGAACCCCATGGGAGCTCCTTAAGTGGACGGATGTGTCTTACTTTTGGTCTATCTGCTTTATAACAGGCCAGATTGGAGGAGAGGCAGTGCTGCCATGCTGGACACCATGTGGACTCTGTCAACAACAGCAATTTACAAACCAGTGGTTTTCTGAGCTATAAATATATCTGCTTGTTCCCATTGTTTCTTGGGGGATTAGTAGGAAACTCCTGTGAGTGTTAAGCTTGACCTGAACCTCCGGCTGGACCGCATGTTTGACCAGTGAGAAATTACAGTGCCTGGAGCTGCTGTGAAATCTTGAATCTGACTTAAATACAGTCCCAACGTTCATTTTTCACTGTACATTATCAGACTTAGGGTTCTGGTTGTGTTCCTTTTGTATTTACTCATCTATCCTCAGGGCTACTGTTGAAATGAAATGCAACACACATCCAACCTTACCTTGTTCCTCGATGGGATAGATTTCACACTTTGGGGCGGCAGTACAGTAGCTAAGTCTGGAGGAACTTGGGTTGGGAACCTGAGGGTCGCAAGTTCAAGTCCCTGGTGCGGACCAAAATATGGATGTTGGTCTGGTTGCTGGAGAGGTGCCAGGTCACTTCCCCCTGTGCAGCCAAAGGTGCCCTTGTGCAAGGCACTGAACCCCAAACAAATCTGGCGCTTGCTCCATTAATGCCCACAGGTCCTGATTGAGCATGTATGTATTTCGGGCCTATGTGTATGAGTAGCATGTCTCTAAATAACAGAGTGTAAACCAGAATATCCCCTCAGGGATTAATAAAGTATGTTAAAAAAACATTGTTACGTCATTTTCAGATATTCAAGTGTTTGAGAAGAAAGCACTTTTAAAGTCCGCTCTGTATGAGGCCATGAGTTTTACTTACTGAAACATCTTTGTTTTGGGAGTAAAATGAGAAGCTGCTTTTACTTCCAAGCGTCTTCTTCTCTTAACTTGACCCTATTTTTTCTGAAGACAGTGCGAAATGAATAATGCAGAGGCAAGCCTTAGCTTTAAATGCTGTTTAGTGATCTTTAAAGGAGCAGAGAGTGAGATGAAGTTGAATGCAGCGAAGTGAAGAAAAGAAGTTTGGAATGGAAGCTCAAAGCGATGCTATTTCAGGCATTCTGGGCTCCAAAGTTCTTATTTGGCTGAATAAAAAACTGTGCAGTATGGGATTAGCATAGCTCTCACTTATTATACACGCAACGAATACAATGGATTTTCGTTTGAGGAAATGGTGCATGCTGGGAACTTCTAAATCTGATCCCATTGCTTTACTCTGTAGCTGTTTGAAATTACAGTTTCAACTGGAGCTCTGCTATGAATCTGCATCTGAACAGAATGAGAGTCATTGACGTTTTTTGTGTTTTTTTTAAATATGTTTGTTTCTTGTCCTAAAAATCAAAAAACAGTTGAAAACAAAAGGCCTTTGTCAATGGCTTTTTTCTTTAAAGGGCACGGAGAGAAGTTTGGCATGTGTGTGCGTGTGTGTACTCTAAGCTGTGTAAGCTATTAAGTGTGTATGAGCAGCAGGGTGAGACGGCTTTTGGTCTGACGTGGAGGCGATGGGGAGGCTGACGAGCTCCTGGTGCTCTTTTAGTGCCAGGCGGCAGCAGCAGCAGCAGCATCAGCAGCTGCCTCACAGTGTGTTCCCCCACACAGACTGAGCGCCACGCAGAGCAGCTGGGGGGGGGGGGGTTCTATTCAGTCTCTGTGGGACCCCCAGTGTGGCTGAGAAAGACAGTGATCACTGTGACGGCTGCCACGTCAGCAGCCTCATGACGTAGATGAGGTTTGTATCTCAGTTAATCGGAAGCGCAAAAAAAATGGCTCAGATTTTTGGATCATACCGCAACAAAATCCTGTGGTTTAGAAATATGAAAGGCATTCATTCAATCATAGGGATTTAATTGATCCTGGTTTTACACATGTTTCATGGATTTTTTTTCCCTCCAGTTAATGACATTGAAACATTGACAGTTTCCCTCTGCAGAAGTGGAAGGTTTAAAATAAGGAGCCAGAACTGGAATTTAATTTAGCTGTTTCCTTACCGAATGATTTAACTGGTGTGTTAATAATGACGACTGATTGAATTTACAGAAACATCCATAAAGATATCCGAAGTAACCTGTTAGTTTCAAAGTGATGCTTGGTGATCTGATTTGAATAACTTGGTACGATGGTTGTTTTCATTTTTCATTTGAAGAAAAACAACTTTCTTTCTTTGTTGCCTTTGTTTGTTCTTTTTTGATCGATAACACTTGTGTTCTTGAACTCAGTAGCAAGCCAATCTCTGAGACATTTTGACAGTTCTGTTGGTCTCTGAAGGGTCAGGAGTTTTAATATTGCAGTTATGTTCCAATGATATTTCTTTTTCAGCTGTCTGCAAAATGTAAACATCAGTTCATCCTTGTCATCTGTTCTATTTTCATAGTTTCCAAAGTTTCTGTGATGGAGCTTCTTTGGGTTACACGGTGGCATTAAAGGAGCAATAAGTTACACTGACACCTAGCGTTTAAAATGGGTACTGCAGCCCAAATTAAAACATTGCAGATACCTGTCTACTCATCGCTGCAACATCTGTTGGTTTGACCTGATAACTGGTTTCATATCTGGAAAACTAAGGGGCATCCAAAACAGCTGTGTGGGGGGGATGCCTCTTAAACTGCCTACCTTCCCTGGTCAAAACAAATCCCGACCATTCAGGACCAGAATCTAAACTTAGAAGGAGGACATACTGGCTGCTGCATTGTAGTCCGAGAAGCCAGCAAATCAACATAGCATGTTTCCTTAATGTCTGATGATTTAGTAAGGTTATTTTTATAATTTAATTCTGAAGATAGCTTATATATTGGACCTTTAAGGTTAGTTTTCGACTTAAAAAAGGATGTAATTGTCTCTTTTGGCACTGGTGGTGAGGAAACAAGATGTTTGACTGAAGAATCACCAAGTGTAATGAAATTCAAAGACGACTCTTCTAAACTTTGTGCTTTAAGGCAAATGTGGGTATGCTATAAAAAGATGACAAAGTATAGCTGCCTAACTCAGGCATGTTTTGTTAGTTATTATGAGCATGTTAGCTTGCAGTTAGCTTTCAGCTCCTCTTCTCATGAAACCAACCTTAATTGAAACCAGATGCTTTCTGACTCATTGTTAATCTTAAGCATCAGTAGTTCAAGTTATCCAATGTCTGTGCACAATTTGAATGAGACTTTCCTAAACCCTCCACACCCAAAATCTGTCCTTCCAATTTACTGCTTAATTGGGGCTTTGGCCAAACTATTAGTAGATGTCAGTATCAATATGTCACACTTCTTGTTGGTACCCATATCTGCTATTCTACTTATTTACTTACTTGAACTGTAACTCTCCCCAGACCTGAGTGAAAAAAGTTTCCAATCATTAAACAGGCTACTGTATTCTGGTGACGTGACTTTATTCAGCTGTAGAAATGTTAAAGGCGCCTTTGAGGCCTTCTGCAGTCTACCATATGTTTCAGTCATATGTTTCTGTCAGATTGCTGACAGTGTTCACTGCACTCTTCAGGCTTCTGTCTGCAGTCTAGCTGTGCAGGCTCAAAGGATTTACTGCAGAACCTTTTTTTTATTTTTGTTTTATTCCATCACTCTTGCATGTGATGATGTATGCATACCTGCATGTCTCTGTGCTGCAGGTCCAGGCGTCTCTGCTGAAGACCTGCTGCAGAGCTGCTGTGCTGCAGGCCAGAGATGGGCCTCAGAAAATCACCACTGCAACAACATGCCAATTCTGAACAACGATAAGCAATCCCTGTGCAGGTAAGTGAAAGAAAAAACAAACATCTATCACAGATTTATAATAACTTTTGTGGATGGGGCCAAACAAATCACAATTTCAGTTGTAAGGAGAAGCCCTTAGTGTTTTAACTGAACTACAGCTTAAAATTACTTTTGATTAAGTTGCAATCAAATAGTGTCTCTAGTGTTTAAGGTTCAGTAAATTCATACAGTATGTTAGGTTTCTTTAAATTTAGGATACATTTTTAAAGAGCACTCGTACCATTTCGGAGACATCTGGATATGGCTTTTCATTTGTTTAGAAAGTTTAAATTCTTCCCACTTCAGTCAAATCAAAGGCTTTAAATCATACTCCCAACACAACATGTGCTCAACATATCCACATGGGACCATTAATGTTTCACTTTTGTTTGCTGCGGAATAACATAAACTTGTTGATTAGGCCATTAAGAAAACTGTCTGGCTCAGATCTGGAGTTCAAAACCAGGCTGCCTTGTCTGACTACAAATCCCTCCAGTGATCCACCGTTTTGTGTGCACTATTTCCTCAACCATAGCCCTAATATAAAAAGTGGTCAACGTGAAGTAATGCCGTAATATCGTATTTTTTAAGGCCAACAAAATAGGTTTAAGACTGTGGTCTACTTAAGAGTTAAGTTAATAATAAATCAATTAGGATGTAGGATAAAAATATAATAATGTGTGGCCAACGTAAACTGAATAAAACATGGACGTCATCTCAGTGATGTCACTGTCATGGTTTCTGAAGAGACATTATGGAACATAACAAAGGCAAATAATATTATCTCAACTCAGCTTATGATGAATCTAGAAGCAGAACAAGGTGGAGCTGAAGCAGGCCATAGCCTCCTGGGAATAAAACTATTTGCTCAACTGTCAGTCAACTCAGCCTGCCTCTAATTGTGTAAATGTCATCCCTCATTTAGTTTTTACCAACAAAGAAAATAGCTGTTCATAATGCAAAAACAGGACTTTTAACACGAGGCTTTATCATCCGGTGTCAAGTGGACACTCAATGAAATGTAATCCACATTGTCTCCATTTGTCATTACTGAAAGTCACCACTTGGTAGCCACTCTACTCTCAAAATATGAAGTCCAAAATGAAGAAATCAAGCTTCAAAAGAGATGTTCAAAGACCAATAAGTGATGTCACCTTGGCTGCATCCAATGTGTATAGACGGTCTAAGGTCTAATCCTGATTTTCATTTATTGTGGTGTATAATAATTTAAGTCTCTTTGCGTGTGTGTGTGTGTCAGTGTTGCAGAGAAGCAGTGCTGCCTCAGCTCTGTGAGAGAGAGCCGCTGTGAAATCGGCGTGATGTCAGCCAGAGGAGGTGACACATGTGAAGTGAATGAGGAGGAGCAGTGCACAGATGACACCTATCAGGTACATTACTCTCTCACCACCATGACGTCTACACTGCAGGGTTGTTTTCATGTCATCCACTGACAATTTTCTTTATTTGAAAGAACTCAGGGAAGGGTGCGTGCTAGGACACAACAAAGAAGAAGACGGTTGAGTCATGACTAGAAGACATGATGTCATGAGTGTATGGTGCTCACATTTTCGAGACAAAGGGTTCTTCATATAAACAAAGTCTGAATTGATTACAGGTTATTACGTCTTCCTCTTTCATGACAAAGTCAGGTAGGGTAACACTTACGTTTACGAATAGTTAAAGACAACAAAAGCAGACTAAGCAAGGTCAGACTGATGGCCGTGGTCAGTGGGAATCCTGAACATGATGAACCTGGAATGTGCCAATGTATTTTTTTATTTGACACAGTTTAAACATTGATTGTACGTTGGCTTGGCACGCCTGAGCACTTAATTTCAGATGTGGATGCCAGCAGAGAGGCTGTTTTAAAGTCCAGGCAGCTTATTTGTGTATGTTGGCAAAGCGAGTTGAGATACATTTGTAAAGAACTGCCAAGGTCTTCCACTTCTGTTTGCATCCAGCAGACATGTGAATACTTCCATATGGAAACGAGAATCATGCCTCAGCTCAGGAGATTATTTCTCAAAGAGGAAACCCGGTGGTTTGGCCCTCGAGCAAGCTGCTCATGTGTTGAGGCAGCTGAGCCAAACCGTTGTGCCAGATCACTGTTTTAGTTGAGAAAAAAAAAAAAAAAAGGGGTGAAGGTCTGGTTTTCTTTCTGTGACATGTGTTTCAGGTTGAGGCGGCAGCTGAAATCCTTTGCAGTGTATTCACTTGCCTGTTGAGCTCTTCTGTCTCCTCCTCCTCTGCTGTTTACTAAACAGGCCTCAAAGTGGAGAGCAATAAAGAGAGGAGGTGATGAGAGATGTGAAGGGCACACCGGTGACACACTCGACATTAATAAGCACTGCTGTTGTGTGTGGATTGGCAGGTGTGCTGCAGCTGCTGTGCCCTCGGTTTAAGGCTTCGCGCTGAAGGGCGGGGCTGCGACGCGCACCAGTACCTGGGCTACCCGTGTGGTCACGTATTCCTCACCTGCTGCGAGGAGGGGGAAAGTTCGCTCCAGATCCAGCTGAGGAGAAAGCAGATGCCCAGACCCACTGCTTTGCCTAGAAAAGGTACAGAGCACAGCAAGGTGTCACTGACATGAGAGCTTTCCACATGGGATACACATTCATCATGTACATGGATGGAGGCAGGACTAACAGTTATAAACACTCCTTTAGAGCTAGAGCTGCTTTACTAAAAAAAAAAAAACAGAGCTAAGACTGGAAGTAGTCTAGCACATTTTAAAAAGAAGCCCTGGGAGACCAGTGAAAGAAAGTACACTGATCCATTTTCTAACAGTTTTAATTGTTATTTTTTTCTATGTAAATGACTAGAGAACACATTTTTTCAAGCTGATATTAATACATGAACACTGGAGGGAAAAAAACTCATGTCAAGACTGAGAAAATGTCCATGTTTTTTAAGTAGGTATGCATGTGTGTGTATGTATGCATGCATGTAGTGCATTGATTGCTTGCGATCGATTCTGCACTTTCTCGTCTTATTATTCCTTTACGAGCCTAAATTAGTGTTGAAAATATTTCTATCTTGAAATCATGCAACATGGTGTCCAATGTCAATAAACCAGCTCTGCTGGAACCTGCTCTGCTGGAAAGAAAATCATTAACCATGTTTTTCCTAAAGTCTATCTCAAAATATCTTACTGCGACTGGCATTTATTCAATTTTATACAGATGTAAATAGCTTCTCCATTTTCTTAATGCATTTCACACAAATAAAATACATTTTGAGAATACTTTCACTTCTTAGTGTCAATGCAACAAAAACCAAACTCCTGTGTGACCAGTGTAATTAGTGTGTGGATGGGACAAAACACAAGGGATTAACTGTAATCTAGATGTATTAGTCTACCACTGCATTAAAGGGGGGATACTTTAGCAAAGCTGTCCGACTTAGAGGGTCTTAAAAGGATGATGATTTTGATACTGGTTCCAAAGAACGCCTTTTTATCCTTCAGCAAGTGGTTAACTTTGCACAAAGTATATTGCTGACTCTTCCTCCTTAGCTGCTCCATCGACAAAACATTTTCCATGAACCAGATTGCACAAACTTTGCACACTGCAGTCGTATTATGGAATTGTCCTGGTGTGAGCCATCAATATTTTTGTCCTTATTGAAGTGTGTGTCAGAGGTGGAGTATGGGTTGAGTTTGATCTTCTGAAAAGACAGCTGCTCTCAGTTGATTGGTCAGCAGTCATGTTACCTTTCAGAGTAATGGGAAAAGAAGTATGCAAGCTGGGGATGAATCAGGAACAGATGGAAGCTCAGGCTGTTGTCTCTCTACTCGTGCCAGCAAACTTTCCATCCATCTCTGATCCATCAAGAAACCTAATGCCTGTGACATTTACGTCAATGTGTGATCAAGAAGCTGAGGTTCAGGATATACCTGCTCCAATACCTATTGGTATCTCCTTACCTCTGCAGTGGAGCAGTTTGACTTTTTCTTCTGTTCTCTTCTGGGCTCTGAATATGACCTTATATGTATCCTGTTTGCAGCTGTGCGCTTCGTGAGCAGGGATTTGCATGTTTTTCATCAATGACATCAGAATTGTAATGGTTGAAATAAGACTTAATAAGAAGAAGTATTTGTGAGCGTGTTTGTCTGTCTGTACTCTCCTGTGCAATTAGAACATTTAATCCCTCTTTGAGAAAGCACAAGGTCTTAAATCAAGCTTTTAACCTTTCTGAAAAAGTATTTTATGTGGAATTCAAAGGACTTTTATTCAGTTTTTTAGTTACCATATTGGAACCAGACATGCATCATAATGAGTTGAAGCTCATTATTAGTCAGCCTTCACGGTTTTACTTTAATAAGAACAGTTGTATCATAGTTTGATGGTGAGTTAAAGTCATACTTCTCACCACCTCATGCAGCCTGTTATTTCATTCACTACATCAGAAGAACTCCTCCGAATCCTAAATTTTAATACGCTCTGTTCTAACCATCAACTGAAGCTCATTTCCTTCGGCTTTAAAGGGATATGTGAATGATGTCATTCTGAAGTGGGAATCAATTAACCTGCTGAAAGCTGTGGACGGCTTAGGAGCAGCGAAAAAAACAGTCTCTCTTCCACACACACACACACACACTCTCTCTCTCTCTCTCTCTCTCTCTCTGTCTCTCATTCAGGATGCATGAAGGATGCCTTTACTTTGTGAGTGTTTTATGGATGAAAATAAGGATGAGATGCACTGTAATTATTTCCTTGGGGGATATGTTTTCATTCTTATGACTCACCGCCTTTTAATTAAAACAGGAAAAAATGTAATCGCCTTGCTCCTCTGAATTTAAACCGCAGGTAATGACTGTGAGAAATATTTACTTGAAACCCCGCAACTGGAGCCATTGCTGCTACAAACCAGCAGCATTATAGTGGGAAAAAAAAAGGGATTCCCATGACTGTGAAGCTATAACTACTTTGTGAAAGAACTTTCTTTGTGTTCCTTATTCTGCTTTAAGGTTCTTGCTTATGTTGGACAGACTCTGTAGAGTTTAACCAGCTTAAACCATACATTTGTCTGACATATTTAGCAGAATGTCTCCCTGACCAGTTGTCATTTGACCTTTTAGTTTTATTTAAACTAATTTAACAGCATGTTATACGTCGAAAGAGAGTGGTGACTGTAAGGGGGCATTCACACCTGAGCTGTTTGGTCCATTTGTTTGTTTGGTTTGGGGTGGTGTGAATGTTCAAACGAACTCGGGTGCGGGCCAAAGAACCAAACTCTGGTCCGCTTGAAAACAGGGGTCTTGGTTCGCCCCCAAGTGCACCGGAGTTTGGTTCATCCTAGGTGAGAATGCAGTCTTTTCCAAAGAAGGGAAGTCAACCACAAAGCAGTGCATTGTGTGTTGAAAGTACCCAGATTTTACAGAATAAACAGCAAATGTCAAATAGGTTTGCCAAGCATGGCTAATGTTAGCATTGCTAACAACACCAGCCCTCTTTGCAGGTTAACATCCACACGACTGTGCTCAATGTGGTTACACATTGAGCACAGTCGATAACCAGTTTAACCTGACACAGTCGAAATGTTACTTTATCTCCATTTTATTGATCATAATACCGCCAAAGTGCGCAGAACGACAGGAAGCCATTATTCCACTGCCCTGCTGTTTACTTTGAGGTCGTAGTGCAGCATTAGGCTGGATGGCAGTAACCACTGTCCGGAGCTATGGACCTAACCAGTGGCTGATGGATATGGTACACAACGTTAGACAGGCTTTCAAGTGCAATGTCAAAGCAAACCGAACCAAATGAAAAATGCCACAATATTACATCTTCACCCCAGAATCCCACCGAGTCCAGAGAACTTCATATGCTCTATACATCCATAGAGCCAGCAAACACATCCTTTCTTTTCTTTCACTGTATGAATATTAAGAGAACAAATGTTGACAGTGCTTGCTCTGTTGAAAACTTCTCTCCCATGTGGTGTTTTTCTCAGACAATGATTCCCTCATGGACCACAGTTCAGGGAGTCACCCAAAGTTTTGTTTTGCAGTCTTGAATTAGACTGTGCTGTTAGATTTATAAAAATGCCATGTAAATCACACTAATTGTACTGTCCCTATCCCACTAGATGCATAACTTTCTTTTTTTAACTTGTGTATAGTATAATCAATCATTCAGTTAGTATTTTTGTTCATGCATTCCCCACTCACAGTTAACATGAACAGTGGGAAGTTTACCGTGAGCATTTCACACAAATGTCTCAAACAGCTGGTCTTTAATTGAACACAAAGCAAACAAATGCAGTCATCGTTTGTAACCCATGACCTATAATGACTAATGATTTTCATGGCGTATTTTGTTAGTTGTAGCTAGCTAGCTAACATTACTTGGAAATCTATACAATGGTCCTGGACCTTCTATACAAGTAGGGGGGTCTCCATGGAAAAACGTCTAATCTAGTCCACCCTGTTGAAAAACGTTTGAGGCAGAGGCTGAAATTAGGTTTCTATAGACACCAGTATAAGATTTTTTTAAAAAGGAGGTTTTAAAGCTATATGTCTTGCAACGCTACTCAAAAGGTGTCTCTCAATCAAAACAATACCAAAGATGACATTGAGGCTGGAGGGGAATCATGGGAGTGATTCTCTCTGCTACTCCCCCCCTGACCCCCTGATTAAAAAACGAACTCCGTGTTGACCATAGTCAATACGAACTAGTGAAACCGACCTGAGAAAGAAAATATGTTTACCGACGATGTATCTGAGTAAAATTTACATGACGTTTTTATCACAGCAGCACATACAGTCACAGTACGGCTTTCGGTAGCAAGGTCCCGCTTCCTTATGCAGCGGTCTTCGACGTAACCTTTAAGGTGTTGCCCAATTTTTTCTTGGAGTGGCTTAGCTTTTTTAGTAGTCGGAGGACTACCAGGAGTAATGTTTGGGAACCACTGTCATAACACACCAGAGTTTACATCACACTCACTCACTCATGGTTACCATATAGGCCACCATTCTTAAAAGAAAAGCAAGACCAGTCACAGGTTGATTAAAATAAAGTGGAAGTGGAAAGCAACGCACAAGTTAAATAAATCATCTAGTGTACAGACTTGATGAAGTTGAACAGCTGTTACAGAGACAATGTTTAATGTGCACAAACAGAAGCAATGACCTAAAAACCCTCTTTTAGGTAAGTGGCTCATTTCATTCCCTCTTTGCTTAATACTTTCCCATCTTTACTCATTCTAATTGCTCTCCGGAAACACTTACCATTTCATTTCTGTGCACTTTACTCTCACATTAGTGTCCTGAGTTCATAAGAGTTCCTTTAATGCACTGCATGGGCCCCTGTCCTTTGCACTCGTTACTGTTGGTTTTTCTAATGATGGCAATTTAGGAATTGAAGTTTGGGATAAAAGCCTCACTTTAACACTGAGTGTAAATTAAATGGAGCAGCAGATGTTGTTTTGTGTCTTCAAGTCAGTTTTGTGAGGTAATTGTGAGGGATGAAGTATATAGGCAATCTGGTGCTGTATCTAATTTAAAGAACCCCTCTCATCCTTTCTCTCTTTCCCCTCCAGTCACTGACAGCAAGTTCCCCAAGGAAGCCTTCTCCATCAGTGCCACAGATGAAGCTGCCAACACGGTGGAGGAGCAGGAGGACGTGGATGAGTGTCAGCTCTACGCGGGCCAGCTGTGCCAGCACACATGCACCAACATCTGGGGCTCCTACCGCTGTGAATGTCATCAGGGCTACATCCTGCAGCAGGACGGACACTCCTGTGCACCAGGTACATTCACTCATTTAGCAAGGCTGTCTCTTAAAGGTGACATGTTATACTAATTTTCAACAAGTTAGAATACGTCTCAGAGCACCCCAAAACATGTTTTTGCAGTTTCTTGTTCTAAATCCACTCTGATACTGTGTTTGATCATGCTTTTAAACCCCTCTATTTCAGCCCTGCTCAGAACAGGCTGTTTCTGTGTCTGTACCTTTAAATATGTAAATGAGCTGTGTCTGACCACGCCCCCTCTCTGGAAGGGCTTGGGGCTTTCTCGCCCCATGCCCTATTGTTTAAGGTGAGAAGGCAGACTCAAGAGGGCAGAACAAACACCTAGCTGTGGGAGTGTCACCCACCTGGAGGGGAGGGGTTACTGCCCTTTGTGATGTCATGAATTGAACATCTCCAAACTGCCTGTTTTCTGAAAAGTGGAGCCAGGGACACATATTAGTGATAGAAAAACATGGTGACTTGACCTTTAAATCATCTGGATTTGGATGTAAATTCCAGAACTTAGTAAGAAATAACTCAAGTGATTATAAAATGTAAAAGTTGAGGCAGCAGGGCCCCCACCTTACATCCTCATTCAACAATAACAGTGGATTCTACATTTTCATTGAGGGCACTTGCTACCTACTCTCTAAAATCACGTTTGCCTTGTAAAGCATTGTGCTTCCAATGCCATGTTCTGTGATTTTAACACGTTTTCCCTAAATTATATTTAAGTATCTCATATTTAGAGTCATCATGAGCATTGGTTACATGAAACTGCTCAACGGAGAACAATATAATTTTTTTCGCAGGAAGTACATGACTGCAAAACTGATCCCTTTTAGTGACATTGGTTGAGTGGCCCTTGAAGGACTTGTGTGTCCTGTAATCTTTAAATTAGCCTTCTGTTGAAAAGCTAATCTGTTAGCATGTGCACTGAAGGCTGTTGACCGTTTGCTTTGTTTCTTAGCTTTGATTATTGGAATTTTTCAATGGACTCAGTTCAGAAGCAGGGATAAATTACTGAAATGGACAAACACACACACACACTCTACACCAACACACACACATACACACACTCCAGGGTCAACTGCCTGTGTAACATCAAAACCTGGATGTCAACCAATTTCCTTAAGCTCAACGGCAATAAAACTGAGCTCATGGTTGAAGACCCCAAGGCGCCGCTTACGAAGGTTGGAGATTTCCTGTTGGAGAAAGGTGCTCCAATCCGCCCATCCTCTGAGGTCCACAACCCGGGCGTCATCCTAGACTCTGTCCTGATTCAAGGCTTGTCCTATCCGATTTATTTTCCAAAGAATCCTCAAGTGTGTGGTGTTACTTAATGAGTCATCTAGTGTGTGCTTTTACAGGCTATGATATAAAAAATATACCTCCTTAATGACAATGAAATACACCTTTTTTTTTTAGGTTCAATTATTTTATAATCCATACTGATTCCACAACATTTTCAGTCCAAATCAGGCACACTAAATGACTGTTACTGTGAATGCATTTCTCTTCTGACCATCCAGCTGTGACTCAGGTTTGGTGTGTTTTCCACTTCAGTGTTTGCAGCCTTCTGCACATGCTTTCAGATGCTTTTCATGCAGCCTCCTTTTTTGACCTTTTGGTAATGTGCTCTTATTTCAATTCAAATGTCTCATTGTGATTCAACGAGAGGGAGATGAGCAGTTAAACTTAAGTATTTTATGTCCATTATAAGCTTTAATTAAGGAATCTTATTTTTTTATTGTGCATGCGTTTATGGTCATTTTACTACGACCACGCTGTGGTTCAAAGCAACAACGGGTTTCATCATTATACATCGTGGCACTCAAGCTAAAGCCATTTAAACAGGCTCATCAAAATTCCCCCACAACCTCAAATGAATGATGATTTATTCAGAGACATTTCTCTGCTCCATAAAAGAGCGTAATGACAAAAACATCCAGCCACGAGTCAAATTATATTGTGTGTTTCGGAAATAGTTACACATGTAGGATATTTAATCTTTGACTCTGGTTGAATATATCGGTAACATGTTACTCAGCCTGCCTCCATTCATTCTGCATCCTCAGTATGAAGTCATTTCCATTTTGCGGGGGTTAACCCTTTGCTTTAAACACACACTCACAATTTCCCCTGGTATTTTTTTCCCCCATGTGCAGTGAGTCCTGATGAGGACAATAGAGTCAGAGAGGAGCCTGCTGTGGTCCCAACACAAAGTACAACAACCAGTACAACCACCACCAGCCCGCCACGTGCCCGCTTCAATCCTTGTGCAGGTAACTTCCAGCAACATTACACTCCAAGGCACGTAACACCAACGTGTGCAGGATTCATGCCTAATGTTTAAATATGGTACGTAAATGTCAAAAAACCTCTATGATCTTAAATCATAAAGAATCTCTCAAGCCTTTCTTTCAAATATGTTATGTTGCGTTGCTACACAGCTGTGTTTAATACTTGATTATTATACTTTTAATCTGATGTAAAACATTCTAGAGAAATATTTCATTAAACCCGGAGCATAAAATCTTTTTTATTTTTCCTAATACTTTATTAATCCCTGAGGGAAATTCTTGAAGGTGGAGATATCTCAGCCTGTTTCCCAGTATTGGGAAGGATTACGGTTAATGTCTCTCATATGTGTCTGTAAGAGCCCCCCCCCCCCCCCCCCCCCCCGCAGTGTACACGACTTTGAATGGTGAAATGTGAAAATGATCAATGCAAATTGACCTCATTTGAAACAATAGATGACCTATTCAGAAGCAAATGAAGCCACGGGATGTCAGATGATTCACTGACATTGCATTACTTGGATAGCTGAGAGAGATAGTTCTGGAGTTGCTCTATTACCTCAACATGGGAATATGAAATGTGATCGGCAGATTATGAGCTGGAATGTTTTTCTTCTTGCTGTGAGAGCCTTTTCTTGAAGGATCCCTCCTTGGCTAAAGTTCAGTGTTGTAGCTTCATGTGCAGTGGGTGATGAGAGTGTTTTGGGCTTTAGAGAGGGGTTTCATAGAAGGCGGTGAAGTGTAAAGCACTCGTGTCTCCTGCCTACAGCACAGTAGGCCAGATGCATCTGCTCAGAGCATCACTTCTGCTTTTATGAAATAAAGCAGGTAAGCAGACGGAAGCAGAGCTGACAGGATGTGTCTGTGCACAGTTTGACTGCCCTTAGCGGAGGACATCTATTATTTAAAAACCAAAACAAGCAGGGGTGTTTGTCTCAGCAAGAAACTGCTGAAGATTCTCCAAATGTTCAGGGTGAGCTGCATGTGTGTTTATCCTGTCTGGTAATATTTCCGCATGAAGTGACAGTGAGCCAATGTGTGAACGCAGCAGGAGATATTCAGGAAAATTAAGTGCAAGCGAGCGACGGTGACGACATTTACATCCTCTGATCGTGGCAATCTTTGTGCACTTAACAAAGCTGCTTCATCTACTTTTCTCTTTGCTGCCTGTGTGTTCTTTCCCACTCTTTCGTTGTTACTGTGAATTTTATTTTACCTTTATTTAACCAGGCAGGTCATTAAGAGCAGATTTCTTATTTACAACGACGGCCTGGCAAAAGACAGAAGCCTTTTGAGGGGAGGGGGGGGCTGAAAGGAAAGGTCAATGTTAGAAGGACAAACAGCAAAGTCAGAAGAAAGCAGTGTACAACTTTTCCGAACAGTCACAACACAATAAATAGTTAAAATAATATATCCAAAAATACCAGCCATAAGGAAGGCAAAACACAGTCATCACATGTACAACGTATCCTCCTTACATACACTCACAACAGCAGAGCACAGCACATAGAGCAACCACATAGATGTGTGGCTTACACAGAGAGGTAAACATCTAAAAGACAACATGCATGGGAGAGACAGTAATGAGCCAGCAGATAGAGGTTTGGGAAGTTGCAATTGTCAGTGAGAATGTCCATGATAGAGTCCTTGAAAGCTGATTTAGGAATGAGAGTGTCCAGTTTGAGAGGTTTTTGTAAGTTGATCCAGTCAGTAGCTGCAGCAGCCCTGAATGATGTTTGACCAATTACTGTATTTGTTTTGGCTATTTTTAAGAGAATGTCACAACAGGGTCTAGACACTGACTAGACTTTTTCTAGCTAAAGACCCAGCTCTTTCATGAATACCTACTAACTTAATGATGATGGTTTCGATATCATTGATGATGATGATGGTTGTGACGATGGTTTTTGTTTGATAACGACGACTTATAAGATGGTTTCTATACTGATTAGAGCTCTCAAGAACTGCCCTCAATGTTGTGCTTTGCCTCTGGTCACTTCCTGTCAGCACCTGTGTGTCCAATCGGACTCAAAGCTGATCGTTTGCTCTTACTGACGTTCCCTTTTTTCTAGATCCTTGCTTGTGTTGTACTTACTCTATGATGTACGTCGCTTTGGATAAAAGCGTCTGCTAAGTGAATTGTAGAATGTGGTGGTGAAGACGTCCAATTAACCGTTGCATTAATATAAAGGCAAACAATGTCATTAATGTGTCAGATTCTTTCACTAGGTTCACCTTCTTGGATTTCTGTAGTGTCTTTTCTATGCCATGCCTTTCCTCCTTCCTCTTCCCCTTCTCCCATCAGACAGGGAAAACTTCACGCATGTGTGAATAAGCAACTCAGGAAGATTTCAGGCTGCCCTGAAATCTTTCAAAAATGTTCAGGAGTGCTTGTGTGAAAACAGCTATACTTTCTTTTTTTTTTCTCTGCTATGATGACGCTTGCAGCATCTTCCTAAACCGAATATCAAGTGCAAACAGTGCATACCCTCGAGATGCAAGAATCTCTCCTCCAGAGACTTCAACAAAGGCCCCTTCTTCAATAGAGTGTCTGATTTGTATAGAATATCCTGATCAATGAACAGAGCGTCCCTCTGACTCTCTACTCCTGCATAGCTTCAGTGTGACACAGTCCCTGTCTGGTCCATGCCTCTTTGTGACAGGACTATCGAGCTCTTAAATAGCCAGAATTGATTTCTCTTGTGCTGAATGTGACGGCTCATGAGGGGCTCCTTCCTGCAGGGGGGTGATGATCAGTGCGAGGGTGTGAAGGTAGAGTCCATAGGAGCCTGGGGGGAGCAAAACAACATGGCGATGAGTTAGCAGGACAGCAGAGACACAGCACAGGGATGAAGAATTTAAGACATTATTAGTGAATGACTGTCCTGCAGGCATAGCTGTGTGAAGTCATGCAGCTCATGTTTTTTTTTGGTTTTGTCTCCAACAGAAAATGGTCCTTGCAGTCAACATTGTACGGCGGTGGCAGGCCGGGCTCGCTGCTCCTGCTTCCCAGGCTTCTCTCTGATGATGGACAGACACACGTGTGAAGGTAAGGGCTGCTCATTCTTCTTCTTGGCAGTAATTGGAGCCTCTCACAATGCTTGTATGTATCCCTTAAGCTGTCTCCCCCCTCGAAAAACATGGTTTGCACAAGGTAACAACCAACCCAACACGAGTAACAATACCGCTCACTGCTGTGTAAATGAACAACAACAAACACATACAGTCATGGCAACAGAACAGATGTGCATCGGAGCAGTATGTCCAGAGATCAGGACACTTTTATAATTGGATGCAGTCACTCATGAAGCAGGAGAAACTGCGGCTCTTGTGTGGCTAAACAATGCATCGACTGATTGGGTTCCAACTTCCTGGTGCCTGGAGCATTAGTCAACCTTAGCCAATTACTCCTGGTGGGGAGCTAAAGCTGCAGGAACAAAAAACACTTTACTTTGTATCTGTGCACTTGGATACCTTTTTCCTTTCAAAAAGCCATGCACGGAAACATGGAAGAACAGCGTCACTGGAGAAACGGACAGGCGGAGGTCAGAAGACACATCTGCTTTTTTTTTTTTTTTTTTTTTTAACTACAAAAAATTGGATGCTTGAAAACATACGCAGAAACACATGGTAACACAATGTGTAAGTCGTATATTCTCAGTATGAACCTTACGTAGTGTCCTTAGAGTGTAAGGGTAGTGATGTTTTATATGTTTTGTTGTTTTATTTGACAGTTTATTACCTCAAAACAATTCTAAACCAATAATGTACCAGGTGTGGGGAAAAAAGAAACAATATACATCATATGGTGATATTATTTTAATATACAGTATTTATTAAAAAAGGTCAATTAATCATGGAAGGGCTTACATCTGTGCTGTGTTAAATCCTCGACTGCTGGATAGCTGTGTTGTAATTGGATTGAAGATATCTGGCCCTTTGTCACCAACATATCGATAACACGAGCATAAAGGCCGATTGATAAAAGGAAAAAAGACTTATGTAGCATGTAGAGTCATAAAGGGGAGCAATAGATCATGTTTACAGAATCATAAATTATTGAAATATATTGATTGCCTTACAAGCAATTCATTTGTCGCCCTATTCTCTCCGGTTTGTTTATTTCAAGCTGTTTTGTTCCTCCTGAAGACATACTATCTATACCTTTAAACATTATGCGCCAATGTATTTTTTTTAAGAGCTAGGCTTTCTAGTTTTAAGTATATATAACTCAGGCAGCAGAAAATATGACATTTTTTTAATTGGAGTTGAAAGGGACCAAAACACACCTGAAGGACTTACATTACCAGAACCACTCTCATAAGCTAACGGGACCCCATGCCTGCTGGATGGATAAATAAACAGATAAATAGGGAAGGGTCTTCTAACATGTTATCTAGGGCTCCGAATCTTTGGGAGTCTCATGATTCAGTTTTCGATTCTTGGGGTCACACTTCGATTTAGAATCTATTTTTGATTCAAAACAATTCTGGATTCATGATTCAAAGTCTATTTTATGAATGAGTACATACTCCAGGATCTACTCCTGTCATCTGTGAGACTGGCTGAATTTCTTGTTGCTCTATTTGGCATTCTACTGATTAGCCCAAAAAAACATTTCTGAAGTTATGAATCTGTTTAAAATCTCAGATTATAAGAATCTCGATTTTTTTTTTTTACATTTATAGATTTTTTTCCGCACCTCTAATGTTATCCATTACAGCTTTATAAGGGGAAACACTTCATTAAAATATTTAGCTAAATCTAATACAGCCTGACAATAAATGTTCCCATAATGAAGGTGTAGTGAACAGTTTTTGTTCCAGCAGTTTTAGAGAGGTGTTGATTTCACTTTATGGTCAGTTTGGGGGATGAAGCTGTTGTTGAATTTGTATAACTGAGAGGAGTGTACCAAGGCTTCCCTTACATCATCTTTTTTTTCAATAAATATTGATTTAAAACTCATATTTCTTATTTACAAGACATCAGAGGAAAATCAGAGAGTTCAACTAAATTCTTTTTAACAAGGAGTTTTATTTATCAGTAGCAGAGTCAGGTGTAAGCCACTTCCATTTGCAGTAAATAGAAGTGTATCTTGTTACCTTTCAGATTCAATAACAGAATTGCATTACTATTACAGACAGTTATAAGTAAACGATGAGAATATAGCTTTGAGTTGTAGACTATGTTCAGAAGGCAAAACGTTGGCCACCAAAAATAATGACCATTCTAATTTCACAAAGCACCTAGCTGAACAACACACTTCTACTAAGCTAGTTGTTGGAGACCCAGATGAAGCTCATGTTAACTCGACTGACCGAAGGAGGAGTGACTCCATCCAAACAGATAAAGCTTCATTTCAAATCACCACCAGCTCCATGATCTGCAAGCCAGGACTAAACAGACAGATAGCGGGGTATGTTGATGACGACATGCTTTCCACTGGTGAGTCTGTTGCCTTCAGAGAACATGGATGTTTAACAGAAGTGGATACAGCATTGGAGGCGGAGCCCTGTTCATTCCTGCAAGCTGCTCAGTTGCACATGAAGTACAAACAGTCCGAATTCTGGGTGTAAAAGTTATTTGGCCCATAGAGCATGCAAATTTAGAGGCACAGTCCCATGGCTCTGATGCACTTTCATTATGTCTTGAAAAATATCTCTTGATAAATATTTACTTGGGATTTTACTTGTAATTTAAAAACGGTTATTTAAGTGTTCATATCAGGAAGTTGATGTAGTTGTGGCTGCAATACCAGGTTTGGCCACTAAGTAAAATTGGCTTCAACAGTCAGTGCACTTCCTGGGGGCTTCTCATAGAACCAATTAGAAAAATACTAACATATTATGAATGGCTACAATGTGAAATGAAATTTGTGAGTTGTTTCCTCTCACACTGCCACAGCAACACTAAATAATGTAAACATTGATGTGAGTATTGGACAGACAAAAAAGGAAAGCTAAAGGTACTTTCCCATGAAATAGTTAACTATCATGCAGTAACTCAGATACTAACTCAGTAACGTTTTGATAGTAACTAGAACTGTAACTAGTTCTTCAGTAACTCGGAAGTGAGAATCAAAAGACGTTTCTGCTGCTGAGAATCAAAACACATCAAATGAGTAAAAAAAAGCTGTATTTGTCTTGGACATGGATCCAACATTCAAACTGTCTGCAGAAGAAAATGTAAGTCTTTTTATGCCAAACACAATTTTCCATGGTTGGCCTTACAGTAATATATTTCCTGCAGTAGTTAGTAAATTGATCGGTGAATTTGCAACAGGGTGAAAACTTAGCAGCTGTTTTCCTTTGTGAATAAAGTGATTTATGATCCAACTCTGAAATCCAATACACACCAACTCAAGAAGAGCTTATTGTTCAAACCCCTCCTTGTAGTATAATTAAGAACCTTGTAACCTGTACAAGATGTTATGACAGAAATGCAAACAAGTAGGATGTTAATGAATTTGCTATCATAGTAGTTTTCTTTCATAAAATGCTTTTCTAACACATTCTGCTTCATTATAAAAGTCCCACTGTGAGAGAGGGATTCCCTTCAGTTATGGCCGTGAATATACAGTCAAAGTGCAATTTCTCTCTGAGTTTATTTAAACTGTCTGTCAGTCGGCCAATGGAATAAAACCTCTGCATGCACGAGCTCTACACACGAGTTAGTGTTCCCCTCATATCACCTCATTCAGAGAGCAGAGCGAGGACCTTCTCACAAAGTGTTTCCACATGTGAACATGTGGGTGGGCAACTTTAGGCCTGGACTGGAATTAAAGGAAATAGCACTACAAGATGTGAGTGTGAGGGGGGTATTAGAGGGTTTGATGGAGATCTAATTACTGTGTGAAGTAAACCCCCGTCAACAGGTACTCTATAGTTTATCATACCGACTGTGAAAACACTGAATGATTAACACCTTGGGTGTTTGCAGACGAGTAATCTAAAATGTGTTAAACAAATGTAAGCACCTCTGTTTGACTGTGTGAGAATTTGATTCACAGATGTGCAGTATACACATAAAGCTGCTACCATATCGTCTTCAATGAATTTAAGGCTTTCACACACAGCTGTTCCCATGGAGATGTGTTCGTATGTGTGTGTGTGCGCGTGTGAATAAGCAGGATCCTCCAGTGTGTCATCAGAAAAGAGCTGTGTGAAGAGATGTTTAAACATATGAACAGTAAGAGTTTGGGTTAGCCAGTAAATCTGGGATCTGTCTTTATGTCTCTCTACATCACCAAGCTGTGAATGGATACACATGCAGACATTTTGCAGTCCAAACACACACAAAAGCACGCCAACAACTCCAAATTCAGATACCAAAAGGGTTTCTAGCTTTAAACTGTTCGGTTTCCAAATTCATCCATGAATAAAACTCACCTTCTTTTGCCTAAACAAGGTGTTTGAGATCAGGGTTGGATTTTTCTTTTTGCAGAGGAGCTGCATGAATAAGTGCATGCAGGTCAGACCTGAGAGCTTTTACACTGATGAGACCTTGCAGCACTAAATATATATTTTTTTACATAATTTTTAATTTATTAGTCCAATGAGGGGAAATTACTTTTGCACTCTGTTATTGAGACATGCTTGCACACATGGGCTGCAATACACACACACACACACAATGTGAAAACAGGATCCTATGGACATGCACTGATGGAGAGAAGTCAGAGTGAGCGTGAATCACATGAAAGAGCGTCCGGGTTTTGTGTCTTGCACAAGGGCACCTCAGTCCATACTTTGGTCCACACCAGGACTTGTACCGGCGACCTTCCAGTTCCCAACACAAGTCCATACACACTGAGCGACAAACACAAATAGTTCCCAAAGCCGACTGCGTGACCATCTCTGTGGTCACATTTTTACATCTTTTTTGGGTTAACATGTGGTATTTCCTGAGAGCGGTATTTGTCTACTCCACCAAACGTTGTGCAAGATATTACTGCTGATTGACCACAGTTTTTTTCTTTTGTACCAGAGACACTGCCCAGCCAAACAAAGAGAAAAAAATGTGGTCTGATCCGGACTAAAGGCCATTTCT